AGGAAGCCGACAAGAAGGCGGGCACCGAGATACCGAACGAGAGAATGTAGAGCACGAGCCGGTTCGTGTCCGGGAGGTCGCCTTCGGGGAGCGGCTGCGGAATGCCGGCGCGGCGACGGAACAAGTCGAGGTGCGCCTCGTACGCAAGGAGCGCGCCGAGGAAGAGCGAGCCAACGATGAACGTGAGGCGAACGCGGACGACGCTCGACTCTTGTACGTAGGCGAGGTACCCGGGCTCAAAGGCGGCATCGAACTGGAGCGTGCGCGGGTGCATGCCGACGCGCGCTTGGATCAGGCCAAACTGGTGCACGGTGTAGTCCTTGGCCTTCTTGAGCTTGAACGTCTCGGCGAGCGACCGGCCGACCGGCGCTGCGCAGGCCTTGAGGATCAGCGGCGTCGGGTCCTCGACGTAGTTGGCGGCGCGCATCGCTCGGTGGTTCTTCGATGGCTTGTTCTTCTTGTTCGATAGCATCCACGTCTCTTCTTCGAACGCTGTTTCGTGCGCCGGAAGGTCAGCGGGCGTCAAGATGGCGGCGAACGCGTGGGGCGCGTCGGCTGGCGGCTCGGCGGTGCGCAGCGTGGACGGTCGACGCTGGGCCATGCGTGCAACCGTTGCGGATCGCGATCTTCGTCGTCCAGGTCGAGTATCCGGATGCATCCGGTTGCGGCGGCGTAGCAGTTGGGCAGCAGTGTGAGAGAAGGTGCTGAGATGCAGACGCGGTCGCGCGCCCGCTGCGCCAAGGAGCTCGTGCTGCCGCCCGAGACGCAGGTGCACATCCAGATCAACATCATCACGACGCCCTCTTCACCGACGTACCACTACTATACGCGGTCGCGGGCGACGACGACGACGATCACGTCCCTGCCACCCGCTTCGTCGGCCAAGACACTGCGCCGCCAACGAAGGAGGTCCGCCGCCAAGAAGAAGGCGCTCGTGACGGCTGCAGCAAGTGAGACGAAGGAGGCCTCGCCGGAAACGAGCCTCGTGCCCGCGAACAAGCCGGCTGTCATCGAGCCCGAGCCCAAGAACGGGGACGAGGCCGCCGACCGCCGCAGTCCGCCATCGCCGCGACCGCGAAAGCGCCGCTGCATCGACGTGGACGACCTGCTCGGCGACTGGAGCGGCCTGCGGATCACGACGCGCGAAGACCAGCTCGA